ATATATATATATATATATATATATATATATATAAAAGAAAGATATTTTTATTTTAGTTTTTTATGATTTAAAAACTATATGACGTTAACACTACATAAAACAAACGTATAAAATGTATATGAGGTCAACTCGTGGGTAATCTAACGTCAAATTATTTATTTTATTTACAAAAATATCATCTTTAACGTTTAATTATTTATTTTATTTATAAAAATATTATCCGTCATCTTTTATGTTGACTTTTTTTAAGTTAATGATAAATGTTAGACATTAAAAAATTATTTTACACTAATGAAAATATCAATAAAAATGTAAAATAAATAAAATAAAAATAATAATAATGATAATTATCATATAGTTAGAAAATACTAGTTTTGGTCATTGAAAAATTTAAGGTTTTTAGTATTTTCATTCAAGCGGTATATTCTCAAGTAAAATCAAAACAAGAATAATATTTATTTAATGTTGATTTTCACTTATATGATTGATTGTAGCTAACTAGAATTGAAGCAATAAGCTTCAACTTGTGTCAACTTTATATTTTTTAAATGATATTAGTTCACTCAATCAACAATTTCAAATGTTTATTTTATTGTTTTGTTTTCATATTTTAATAGTTGAGATAATTATATGATTAAATTAATGTTATGGATATGTGTAAATAAGGGATGTTGGTCACTATAATGATATTACAAGTATGTGCGGAATTTTTTTAGATGTCAATTTTGGTATTAGTGAATTATAATTGATGTATTCATATACTAAGAAGATATGTTAGCCTCATGCTTATTCATGACTAATAAGTAAGAACCAATGATGTAATAGATATGCCCTTCGTACACCTGTGACCCATTGTAGTGTAATGAACATCAATGCATAGTATTTTTTTATGCTTAATTTATTAAAGGCAACATCATTAGTTTTCATAGTTTTCACTTTGATTTTTGAAAAATGTTAATTATACTTTGACACATTTAACATTTTAAAATTCTTTTATAGGATTTACTAAAGAAAAAAGTTAGAAAAAGTCTTGATTTCTTGCTTAACGAGGTTAGTTAATCATCTTCTTACTCAACCAAAACATAGGCCAATGACCAATATATTTTGGTCCATTGAGAGTTTGGCCTAGTCCAACGAGTTTTGTAGGCAATGAACATGAAAACATTGGTCACAAACTTTGCCCATCAAGCCCAAGGTTTGACTCAAGAGGTCACGCATGAGATGTTCTTCCTTTAGCTCCAAACTCGTATATGGATAGATGAAGACACGAAAGAAAAAAGAAACGAACCATATAGGAAAACAAGGCTAAAACACCCGTCTAGTGGAGTCATCCATGACTCCCACCTTGATTTCTTCTTTGCACCTTAATTTCTTCTTTGTCTTTTGTTTAAATTCCATGTTACTCAACTCTATGATTAGTTTTTTTTTTTTGTTAAGATTAAAGTAGGCAACAAACTTCCTTGTTTTTCTATTATATTAATATGCATTTTGTATTATTATTCTCCATTAATTTTTAATCTTTTAGTTATTATTTATTATGACATAAACTATCATAAATTAGTTAAAGTTTGTTAGAACAAAATCTAATCGTCTCGGTTTTGATTAAGTGTTTGTTCTTTTCAAAGGGATCTGTGCAACGTCTAACAAATATGAATTGAAGACATCGACGTCTTCTTTCCACAAACATTTTCAAATCATGAGATGGTTTCAGATACACAATAGAATTTTCAAATACCTCCACCCCTCTTTTCGTATTTCAAAGTATTTCAAACCCATTGAACATAAAACTTTTTTCGCCTTGTAATTTTGGATAAGTCACGTGTTGTTTTCTATAAGCATCTCCTTTAACAACTACAATAATTATGTGAAACTTTTATCAATTCATTCATTTCTTGCTTTTAAACTAAGCAATTTCATAATTGCCGACAACCATGTAAAGTTGGTGCATCCTAGATACAACTCTTCCTCTTAATCATGTTGAATAAAATCATATAAAAGAGTTATTCCAAAATTTTCTTCACCAACATCACGTACCATGTCCTCTAAATCACTAGTGCAAAATAAACTTTTTATAGCGACTCTTTATACATGTTGAAAATCATCAGGTATAGAAAATGATGCGGTGACAGTATGGTAAATAAGGGAAACTTTTTTACACCAGTTACACTAAAAATGGTATAAAAAATAGCACGGTGGCAAAATCATAATAAATGATAAATAATTCTACACCGATTACGCTCAGAACAAGTATAAAAAATATTTTTTTATACTGATTATACTTAGAACCGACATGGAATATGTCTGCCCAACACCTTCGTTTCACGCTTCACTTTCTCTGTGCGCGTCTTCTCTTTTCTCTTAGTTCTCTCTGAGAGTTCTTCTCCTTTGCTTCACGTCTTCTCTTAGTTCTCTCTAACGCGTCTTTTTCTCCTCGACAAGCTGCTCCTTTACATTGAGGGCAGAATTCAAAAACACCGATGTCGCGACCCTTTCTAGATCACCAAATCACCACTTGTCAAAACCCTCGTGCTATTGGACCGTGACTCCTCTAGAAATTTTAAATCCTCTTTTTTGTTGTGTTTGGGAGATTAGAGTTCCGCGACAACACAATAATGAAATTTAATGTGTACATATGCTCTATTTTGTTATATCTAGCAATATAACCTATTTGTTTTGATGATGCTTCTTTTTCTTCTAATATATATATATATAAGTAAACGATAATACAAATTCCAACTAAAATTTCAATCACGTTTTGACCTGTATGGACTTTTACTGTATGTGTTTTATTAAAATGAGCTTAAAAACAAATACTCTTTTATTAACTCCTTTATTCGACTAAAACCTTAAATTATTGTATAAGTTAAAGTTTACTATGTTATTGTTTCTTTATTAATATTTTCAACGGTATTGCATAATTCGTTAGGAATTAAATTTGAGAATAATACTAAGCCAACAAAAAAAAAACATTAATATTGTAAAAAACCGTCAGACTAAAATGATGATGGTTTTTTATTTCAAGGAGTTAATTAATTAAACTCATGATTAGGAGCACCTCTCACAACATTAATTTTGCAAAACTATTGAGGTAATGAATATACTTTACTTTAAAAATACATAAATATAACTTTGGTAGACATTATATATAAAAAATATTTATTTATTTATCATTTCGCATTCTAATGTCTCATTTCAACTAATTTAGGAATAAGTAAAATTTTACTAAATATTGCTTTTAGGAAGATTGAACTTGCAGAACGTCCAAACAATTGGTTATATAAATGAGAAATCCATTTTTTTTAAAGAAAGTTTATATAAAATACAGATGCTGTTTTTGTTTATTTCATTCTTTGATACTAATCTTTGCCTGGACTCTGACAGACGACGTCGTGGAAGGCAAAGACAACTTCCTGTGGAGTCTGAACTGTGTGTGGGTTCACGTTGGTCGTTACTCCCCAAATCCCAATCGCACTTCGACGGCGGAGATCGGATCTGCTCTGTATCTCTTTCAGACCGAGACGAGAGAGAGTGAGGTGACTCTCCCACACCGCAGTGTCGGTGAGCTGCGAATAACCTGCCAAAAGTGAATATCCATAACACGATGGCGACGATGGATCCGCTGATGACGCCGTTGGGGCAAATGCTATTGGAGGAGATTACTCCGGTGGTGATGCTCATTTCAACTCCTTCTGTCGAAGAAGCTTCCCGCAAGAACGGCCTCTCCTTCCTCCAGATGCTAACGCCGTTCTGCTCCTTCGACAACATCGATGGTAATCTCGTTCTCCGCATTCAATCCTTTTTAATTCATTATCCGCTATGCCTTCTCACTCCTCACCAGCATTGTTTCTCATCGTGTAGTGCCTGTTAGGACTGCCAGTGACCAACCCTATCGCCTTCACAAGTTCAAATTGCGCTTGTTCTACGCTTCCGATGTTAGGAGGCCTGATTTGAAGGTAATTAACTGCTCGCGCGTTCTCTTATCAATGCCGTGACCATCGCGTTCTTCGATGTTTTGGATGTGCTTACTTCGTAGATTTTTTTGAATGTTCCGCGCTTTCTTTGATGTTTAGGATTTGTCATGTATTTCTATTTGTGTATCCGCCACTTTTTATTAGGAAGCTAAAGAGCAATTGAAGCAAGTTATCTCGGAGGCCGGGGAGAAAGAGTTTCCTGACTCGAATTCAGATTTGCCGGAAATTAATCTTGAACTTTCCTCGAGTAAGCGAGTTTACTGTATCTATTTGTTTTTTGTGTTTGTTATGTTCATATACGTACCTTTACATGGTAAAATAATTATGATTAATAGTTTAATTTATATGTGGATGAATATTCAGCTATACATCATATACTTAATATTCATTTTGAATTGTTTGGGCTTGGAATTGAGCTGCGGACATGATATGTTTGAATAATTTAATTGATCAAAACAAGCTTGAACTAATATTGTTGCTATACTGCTATGGTAGGCTTCACTTGGGCTCGAATGGTGATGCCAACGTAGTTTAGTTCTGTCATTGCATAAGACCTGGTTTGATTGACAAATGTTTTTGTAGGTTCTGAATACGAAAATACACCATCCTGGTTCCGGTTTCTCAATAAAGAGCTTGTCCGTGTGGCTTCCTTTTCAGACCATGAAGCTTTTGACCATCCCGTGATATGTAAGATTTGGAATCCGTCAGGGTTCTTCTTCTTGTGTTCGTATTTTCTCTTTCATAGTAGTATAATAGTATCTCTACATAATTTGATGTTGAATTTTTCTTCTACTTTCTTTCTTCTGAATGTGTTTTTTTGGATATATTTGTCTTTCCTCTGAAAATAATTTGCAGGTCTTCTTGCTGTCTCTTCTAAGGATGAGCAACCTATTAACAGATTTGTTGACTTTTTTAATACCAATAAGCTTCCTTCCCTTCTTAATGATGGATCAATGGATCCAAAAATTTCAAAGCATTACTTGTTGGTGCATGATAATCAAGATGGTCCTGCAGACAGGTATAAATGATGCCATTTTTTTTTGGTTTGAGGAGATTTTTAAATCTGCATATACTTGGAACATGAACTAGTTGCCAATAATTTTTACTTCATGTCATTCTGTTAGATATATTCATGTTTTGGTGCTTAATGAAAATTACCTGGGCCTGACATTTCTTAGAAGACCCTTAAATTGCAACTCAACGGGCATATTTCATGAGGGATATTGGGAGCATTCTTTGGTGTTTGTATAAGAGTATTTATACTTCTGGAAATCTTCTTGTAATTCTTTCTTCACTATTCTTACTCTCTCCTAAACATGAGTTATTCCTTTGTGAAAACCTGTTTTGGAAATCCAAAGCTACCTCTAAAGGTTTTGTGAATGAACTCTGGTATTAAAAAGATACAAATGTCCATGCTGCAATGTTTCAGGCTTCACATTGCTCTAGCACAGAATCTATTGGGCATATGTTCGTGCCCTGCAAGAGAGACTGTTTTTGCCCGAACAATTTTGTTTTGTTTGTCATTCTTGAAAATCTGTGTTTCTCTCACTTATCTATTTTTTCCTTATTACACTAACATTCTCAATATCTTGAACCCCTATACTATACCCCTTTGAAGAAGGAGGTTTGTATGATGTGTAGACTTTGTATGAAAATAATTTGAAATTTCACTACTAGGTTCATATTGTGGGAGTGAACATAACAACAAAAGCCATATCCCACAGGTTATGTTTGTAACATAGATCAAGTGATGTTATTGGCATGGTTAAATACGAAGTCCTCAAAGATGTTTATCATGACATTCCTTTTAATAAATTCCATTGTCCTTCTTGATCTCCCTCTCCTCTGTTTCATAGAACTGAAAGCCATGCAAATTATTCTATCCACTGTTGTTTTTAGTGGCCTTCTTTGTACTTGTGCAAACTATTTTAACTGATTTTCTTTCATTTTTCCTCAATTGGTGAAACATTAATGAATATCTTCTTGTATACAATCATTTTGTATATTATCCTTTCCCGTGTTACCACACATCCATCATAACATTCTCATATATGCTACTCATATTTTTTCTTGTTCCTTTGAAGTCCAAGACACATGGCGATATGATGAAACTTGTCCTTGAGCTTGATAGTTGCTTTGCAGTCTCCATGTCTTTTTTTTTTTTTTTTGTTTTTTTTTTGGCCATCTTGCATGCTCCTATGTGTGTCCCCAACATTTTATAGCATTGGTCCCAAATATTTTATGTTACAAATTTGTGGGATGACATCATCCATTTTTACTTCCAAGTCATATTCCCCTTCTCTCTTGCCAAAATTGTTAGCCATATAGTTTGTCTTGTTCATACTTAAGTGAAAACCCTTGTTTCCAAAATTTGTCTCCAAAGCTAAAGTTTAAACGTAATCACCTCCTTTGCTCAATCAAATGATATTATATACAAAATGCATGCAATTAGGGATAATCCTTTGTATGTTATGGGAAGTAGAACCAATGCTAGATTACTTGAGGATGATTAAACTAGGACTTAAGGATGTATGAGTCTTAACGTAATCCTATCTCAATCAGAAAAAGTCTTTAGTCTCTCACTTTTTGGAGTTTTCACACCAGTCTGGATATAATAAGCCATAGATATGAACTAATCTGTCTTCCAAGGTCTGCCATAACACTTCCCTGCTCTTGATCACAAGATTTTTCCGAGTTAATAAAAACCATATGTAAGTCTCTTTTTTTTTGCTTCAGTAACTTTCTATCAACCGCCATAAAACTTAAATGCCTTCTTCTGGTGTAGACTTTCTCGAGAAAAACCAAATTGATTCTTTGTGTTATAAATAGAGAAGATTAGGAGAAATCTCCCTTGTGTTCTTTTCATACACATAGGGTAGTTTATTTATAATGTAAGATATGGGTCAAGGCCCTTAATACAAAATGGGCTGAGCCCAATTAACATAAACACACATCTTAACATCTAACACTTTGCAATTCTTGTTTCTTCTCTTAATATATGCTCAACCACTTCTCAAAATTTCATAGTGTGAGAGTGACCATTGAAACTGAAAATTGCTTTATTAAGGAAAGAGAATGAAACTTTGGATGTTGTTTGCTGCAACTTAATGCAATCTTGGGTCTTCTCTATTCATTAATTTTATTTGGAAAGATATATAGTTATATGTAGTTTTAGACTTATTTGAGTTGCTTTTTCTTCTTCAACAGAGCAAATAAAATATTGACAGAAATGAGGAGTACATTTGGTTCTGGCGATTGTTCATTGCTTTGTATTAATTCTTCCCTGGAGGCTCCGTTCAAACATCAAGATAATCCTTGGGCCTCCTATGTAAGTTTGTTTGGCGAGGACTTGTAGCTTCTTCTTTTCCAGAAGAAAAAATTCATTATTTAGTTAATCTTCCTTGCCTCATGCTTTTTGCTTTTCTTGTCTTCTGGAACGTATGTTAAAATTTATATAAAATTTTGGTTCCATTTATGTGGAAGTATGCAATTTAGGCTGTTGTCTTCTTAAATCTGTGACAGATAACTAATTCCTCATCTAGTCCCACTCAAGATGTTGGTTGCTTTCTTAACATGGATGATATCGATGAGGTATTTGGCTTTTGCTACCAGAAAGGCTGTTAGATTCATTATATTGGATTTATGATTACATTATACCTGCATTTTTTGCTACCCATTTTTGTTGCCTGAGTACAGATTAAAGTTCTAATGCAAGATTTATCATCTAAGCACATAATTCCAAATATGGAGCAAACGATTCGTATACTCAATCAACAGGTTTATTAAATTTAGCCCCTTTTTGAATCCATGGTTTTTGAATTTGTTAATCCAGAACCTAGATTAATTATTTTGACCTATATTCTGATTCTCCGTCACCTTTTTTTCTTTTTACTTTCTTTTGTTTAGGTTTCTGCAACACGGAAAGGGTTTAGAAACCAAATAAAAAATTTATGGTGGAGAAAAGGGAAAGAAGACGGTGCAGATTCTCTCAATGGTCCCGTGTATGTTAAATTTATTTATATCTTATGGTAGATTAAACTACAATGCTATGTATAATTCGATTTCTTGCATTTTTCTGATATGGTTTTGGTTTTGATTATTGAAGGTATAACTTTAATTCCATTGAATCCCAGATTCGAGTTTTGGGTGATTATGCTTTTATGTTACGAGATTATGAACTTGCCTTGTCAAATTATCGCCTAATTTCCACAGATTACAAGATTGATAAAGCCTGGAAGCGCTATGCTGGTGTGCAGGTAATTATTGTTATTAATTTTTATATTCCAATTGCTGAGGGCTTTCAGATGATGATGCATGGTTGGTATTTTAGAAGAATGATTTAATTCTATTATTTATCTTCTAACCATTTGACTTTCTATTACCCTTTTGACAAGTTCTTACTGAGGGATTTTTTTATTTTTCTTAAAATATGAAATATTCAAACACTGGAAATGTTGTAGATGAGATACTTTACTTGGCTTATTGCTTGTCATCTTGGATTAAAGTCAAAATGATCTGACTGACTTCTAAGTAAATGTTACATTGCATTAAGGATTTTAGATGAACTTCATGTGATTTGCATTAGTCATGCTTATTGTTAAAGATGTTCTTTGACATTGTTGTTTTATTGTTGTTCTTCCTTATTGGCATTTACTGTGTCTTTCCCTGTACGATGAAAAAGTAAAATAATTTTAAGAAGAAACCCAAGAATTGTTCCTTTTCCTTGTCTTACAGTTCCTTAACATTGATTTTTCCAATACATAAGATTTCTGATAGTAGATTGTTCTGAAATGCATCACTCTAATACTTTATTTTTCAGGAAATGATGGGGCTTACATACTTCATATTGGATCAATCAAGAAAGGAAGCTGAGTATTGCATGGAAAACGCATTTAACACATATTTAGTATGTATGGTTTATTTTGGATCATGAGAGATTGTGTAACGTTTTTATTTTCTGGTATATACCATTCACATTCTCTTTTTGATCAATTAACTTAACATGTTCAGAAGCTTGGATCATTGGGTCAGCTAAATGCAACACGATGTGGCCTGTGGTGGATAGAAATGTTAAAGGCACGTGATCAATATAAAGAGGCAGCTACTGTTTATTTTCGTATTTGTGGTGAGGTAGTGCTTTTTTTTTTTTTTTCCTGAAAATAAAAAAAATTGTTATTTGTGATTATTGTTTTCTGCTGTTGACCAATTTGTTGTCTTAGGATATCCTACATTCTGCTGTGATGCTTGAACAAGCATCATACTGCTACTTGTTGTCTAAACCCTCCATGTTACGCAAATATGGATTTCATCTAGTGCTTTCTGGCGAGCAGTATAAAAAGTGTGATCAGGTACATTGGAATATCAACAATATGCAGACACCCACATACCAATTTAATAATGTATTGTTTTTCCCTGCTAATTTCGTTTATATTTGATCTTCACATGCTCAGATTAAACATGCAATTCGAACCTACCGATGTGCACTTTCTGTTTTTAAAGGAACTACTTGGAATTATATCAATGATCATGTTCATTTCCATATAGGACAGTAAGTTATACTAGGTTCATTTCCATATTGTGGTTTTTTCTTTTTTAACAAGAAGCATGTTCTCTACATGCTTTGAACTTTCTTAATTGAGATGGTTGTTTTAGGTGGTATGCTTCCCTTGGGATGTATGACGTGGCTGTCAAGCATATGACGGAAATTTTGTGCTGTAGCCACCAGTCCAAGACAACACAGGAACTATTCCTAGGCGACTTTCTTCATATTGTGGAGGTGCTAGTGCTTCTTTATAAAATTTTCTGAAATTTTGTTGTTTATAGTCCCTAAATTAAGAGAAATCTATAATTTCAGTGTTCTATGTATCTTGATGCTAGGACAGAAGCTAATTAATTTGACAGTTGTCTTAATTTTTTGTGTATACTGTAGAAAACTGGACGGACATTTGAGGTAACAAAGCTTCAATTGCCTGTAATCAACATCTCTACACTCAGGGTAATCTATGAAGATCACCGGACCTTTGGATCCCCTTCAGCTGTAAGTAGAATCCAATCCTTTGCTTTCCCATTCTGTGAGTGAAATTGCGATAGAATTTTCATGGAAATATTTACTGTTTTGGAACAATGAAGCACCTGACTAGTTAAAGATGTTCAAAAAGTTGTTAATAAGTAGCCACTCTTTGACTAATGGCCATCTTGGGTGGTTAAGTTTTTATTCCAGTATTTTTTTTTAAATTTTACATTCTCCTTCATTTTCAGTTCTGACGTGAATTTTTCCTTCCTGTTCTTTGACCTCATTGAAAAGCGTGAAACACCTTATCATAAAGGACTTTACTTGTTTGTTAGGAAATATGGATCAAATAAGACTACACTACTAAAGAATTATTTTGGTTATAATGCTGTGTCCTGGCAATCTTAGCCACTTACTATGGTTAACTTATGTGATTTACCATGAAGTTAGCTTAGATTTTCTTTGAACAATTTAAATAAACTACTGAGTGGGCCACATATAACACCAATTTTAGCCCAAAGCATTCTATACCATATGAGCTGTAGAAGCACTCTTTTGTGACACAATAAATTCATTCAACCGAGATTATGGAGGGCTCTGTGTATAAATCCTTTCAATGCTAGAATGAGTAGAAATTGTGCTTCTCTCATTGTGTGGTTTGAAAAGGGACATTTAGGATTTTATTTTTCTTGCTCTATTCAGTTTTTGTTATAGCCATTATAACATGGGTTTTCCCTGTTATGGTTGTGTTACTAGTTAACGGCTGTAGTTTGATGCTTGAAGTGTCACCACTCTCTGGTAACTGTCATTTCAGGCTAATATTAGAGAAGCCTTGTGGCATTCTTTGGAGGAAGAAATGCTGCCATCATTCTCTGCTGCCAAGACTAACTGGTTGGAGTTGCAATCAAAGCTTATATTAAAAAAGCACAGTCAAAATGTTTGTGTTGCAGGCGGTATGTGGTAGAGCTTCATCTGAGATTGATAATTGAATCCTTATATTTCTTTTATTTCATTCTAATGTTTTTTTTCAATTCTCTCTTGATCCCTAATTATTAGAGGATAAGAACTTTATCTGCTGTCTTATACTTTATGTGATAGCCATATTGTTCTGGCTTCATGAAACTAATGATGTTATAGTAGGTTTAAAGGAATGGAAAAATAAAAATTATGCTTGTTTGAACCATATGATTATATTATAGTTCTAGATGTGGGTTACAGTTCTTGTTCAAACTGCTACCTACCAATACATGTTTTCTTACTGATAGAGATATGACTTTTTTTTTTTATCGGCAATGTTAGTTGTTAGTAGGGGGAATTGAACTCACAGCCTCTTCTACCCTCCTTTCCAACTTTACTACTAAGTCAACCTTATAGCTTCATTAGATATATGATTTGATAACATTAAGCAGGGAGATATGATATGATTTGATAGTGAAATATCTTACTAAATATTTTCTTTTATTAGATATTATTTTGTTCCCTATTATTGTATCTCATGTTCACTGTAAACAATAACAATTATGTGTGCGCTTAACACACAAAATTCATTATATTCCTTTTCAATTCCTCTCTTCTTAACATCTTGCTAGAGTGGTATAATTCTGTGACCTTTTTCTGTCACTAATCCTCTCAACATGGGTATCATGAGCCTAACGAGAAAGGAACTCAAATTCATGCTTTCGCTGTGGTTCCACTTTTCATACGAGTACATTTAGAATTTGTGTGCATTTCTTGGTTTCTTTCTTTCCCTGCTGTCAATTTTTGTGCCAGATACACTATTCAGTCAGTCTTACACTTCACCTCCATGATTATTTTCCAACATTGACACTTTGGCCATCTTTATTCGGGCAGCATTGTTGTTCACCCCTGATGATTCTCCATCAAACCTTTTCTGGTTAGGTTTTTTCCAGCCAGCATTGTTGGTTTTTGCTGTTGCTTTTCTGGCGAGTTTTGTTTACCATTGACGGGTTTCTGGCAAGTACTGTTTAACATCGATGTTTTTTTGACAATTACTGTTTACCATTGATAACCTTGCTTTTCTAGCAGGTACTGTTTACTGTCAATCTTTGCTTGACTGTTTACTATTTACCATTGATGTTTTTCCAAAGAGTATTGTTTACTCTCAATGTTGTCTAGGAAATACTTTTTTATTACCAATGATTTTCCCTGGAGTATTGTTAATGGTCATGCCTTCTTACAATTTTTAGCAAGCTTGCCTCATGATATATATGTTCTAGTTTGAGGAGGAGTATTAAAGATATGATTTGAAAGAACGAAGCCTATTGAAGATTGCTGTCACTTTGATAGAGAGAAAGTCATGTTTGGGAAATAAATACTAGCTTTTTCATTATTTACTGTCGTCTTCAACAACCAATTGACTTGTTTGTCAAGTCTTTCAATGGGTCTTGTATTGACGATAGTTGTAAAAGGCTTATCTCATGATACCTATGCTCTAACTTGATGGGTAGAGTGGAGATAATTTTTTAATTATGTTAGAGATACAAATTGATTATATTAAGAAGGTAGATATGAAATGATTTGATAGAGAAATATCTTACCAAATAGTTCCCATTAGTAGATATTATTTTGTTCCTTATTGGATTTCTTTCTCGTTATAGTAAATATTTTGTTCATTATTTCGTGTGTAGACAAGATACAAAATTCATTATATTCCTTCTCGATTTCTCTCTTCTCAACATGGTACCAGAGTGGTACCATCTTTCATGACCTGACCTGTTTTGTCACTAATCCTTTGAAATGTTACTATCATTAAGCCTTTCCAGCAGAAAGTTGGTTTGCTTTTTTAGAATGCTCATAGTTTATAAATATATACTTGTAATGTTATTGTAGATACACCATGTTTTTTGTTTTAGTATTAAGCAGATGTCTAACCTTTGTGGAATTTTTACATCGATTATGAGTTATATCTCATAATGTAACTGGGAGAAGTGATCTTTTCCCTTTTTGACGTTGGTCTATATTTTGTTTCCTTTTCTTCTCTAATGTGTATTACCTTTGCATCCTTGAAACACTTATAAATTAAACATGTTTAGGTATACATCTTTAGTAATAGTTTTTTTCCTGAAAGCTTAGGAAACTAACTAAAAAAATGATTTATTCAAAGCAAGTTGAATCAAGTAGACATTAATTTTTTTGGGAGTCCCAATTTTAAGCCACAAACATTGTCAGGTTTTATTCTATTTTGACTTAAATGATTTTTAGTTTTTAAAAACCCTGTGGTCTGCATTAGACCATCAGGAATGGAACAAGGTCACCTGAAGTGTTGCAAATCTTAGTATTTTAACTATTGGCAAAAGTAGTTGCAATAATACCCAGTGCTTTTGGCATGTATACGTTGTAATCATATGTTAAAACTTGAAATAATTCCCATATTTCATCATCCTACCTGTATTATAGAAGATAGGATGCATTTAAGCAAGCAGCTCCACCAATTCCATTAGTTTAATTGGATTGAACTCCCAGTTTATGAAGTGACTGATTTTTACTTGAAATTAATTTGAAAATTTGATGAGGGTTGGACTTTCTTGTGTAAAATCCTGCTTATATTAGTGTAAAATATATGAGTATGAAGAGTATATTTTTTAAAAATTGGATGTCTGTAATGTCTTTTTAAAGTTAAGGAATCGGAACAATAGGTTGACTTTTCCCTCCCTGATGTATTATTGGTGCATCGTCTATTTTTTTGCACCCATTTGCAGAAGCTGTGAAGGTGACTATTGAATTTAAAAATCCTCTGCAAATCTCAATTCCCATATCTAGTGTTACACTTGTATGCAAGTATTCTGCCAGTACTGATGAAGTGATATCAAGTAAGCTATGAATATCTGTTATATCTTCTACCATTTATTTATTTATTATTTTTTATATTTACTCGTTAGTAATACTTTGTTATGTGTACTACAGATGAAAATGAGTCAAGTATGGAGAAAGATAATAAGGTTGACCACTTTAGAAATATGAGCTCTGACAATTCCTCATTTATGGTTTCTGAGGTTGATTTCTTACTAGGAGGTGGTGAAACAACCATGGTGAGTTTGTTTTGTTTCAGACACAAATTATAGCATGGGAGATCTTCTCTTACTAAAATTATGCAAATTGTGTTGCATTACGGGAAATTGAGAATTTTATTTTCCATCTTAATTTTGTGCATATCTCCAATTAAATTGAAGCTTAAGTAGAATGGCCTTAGACTTCTGTCGTGGAAGATGAAGATAAATGTTCCTTTTGGCAAGGTGAAAATGAAGCTCTCAGATGATGTATATCTTTTCTGTTCAAATTGTCTACCTTAAGAATTCAGCTGACTAAAATATTAATTAGAAAGAGAAAAAATGGTGTTCTATTTTTTTTTTCCCTTTTATTGTGAAATTTGAGTTTAAAATTTAGGTTGAATGGATTAAAAACAGGTAATCCTACTTGTAGTGATTGTCTATTGGGATGTTAATTTCTGACTTTTAAAACCGATTATTTTTTAGAAATTGTGTGAGAAGTGAACAGAAAAGAAGTATGAGAATAGAAAACTCTTGAAAATGTGCACGTGAACAACAACTGGCATACTGCACAGAGTTCTATCATTATTTCTCTCTCCCTCCAAACCTTCAAAATGTATCTTGAGAAATTGCTCCAAGTTGGAAAGACACCCTTAACACTCCAAAATCATCAAGCAGACTATTCTTTTAGAATGTAGCTGCCTGACAATGCACATAAGAGAATGTCATGATTTTTCCTATTTTGCCCTTGTTAGTCCAAATATAACTAAGGCTCATTCACTAAAAAACGAATGGGGTGCAATTTAGGGGTTTTGTGTTGAGAGCAAAGGGAAAACAATCTGCACTGTGTAACTAACTGCTGAGCTTGCAGTAGGGAGGGTAGAGAAAACGTGATTTGTTTATATGGGGTCTAAGGAGAGGCTAGTCTGGGACTTTTGGGAGAGACCTAACTGCCCAGGACATGTTTCTTTTCCCGTTGAATTTCCTTTTTCATGAGTCTTCAACATTCATGCATAATACATTGAAATTACTGTGAATTTCCATCTCCTTTTCTGCTATATGCAGCTATCTTTTTATACAATTATGTGTTCATTTTTTATGTGTATGTTCTATTTTTAAGTTATCATTTTTGGAAATTTAGCATCGTGTAGTACTTGTTTTCCAGATCCAACTATCAGCTACTCCCAGGGAAGAGGGTACTCTTGAAATTATTGGTGTTAGGTGGAAACTGTCTGGGACAATTGTGGGCTTTTACAACTTTGAGATGGGTCAACCAAAGAAGAATATTTTAAAAAGAAGGAAAACAAAGCACCTTCCAAATGAGAAATTTAAATTTATGGTGATTAAGGTGCATGCTTTTATCCTTCAATTTATCATTATTGTCTTCTTTTCACATGAATCTCACAGTCTCTAAGTTTGGACTAAAACAGTTTTTTCCTTTCCAAAATCCCAGAGCATACCGAAGCTTCAGGGTTCCATCCACCCTTTACCTGGAAAGGCATATGCTGGAGATTTACGGCAGCTTGTTTTGGAATTGAGGAATCCATCGGAGTTTCCTGTTAAGGTACCATGTTTGGAATTGAGGAATCCATCGCAGCTTGTTTAAGAAAACTTCTTAAATAATTTCAATCATAAACTTCCATGTTATTATCAAGATGCGTAATGAGTGTGATGTACTTTTAATGAGAAAATTGCACAAATAAGTATGCTTAATGAGAATGAGCATAAATAATATAGAAGAATAAGTACGGTGCTTAAACAATTATAACAATTAAAAAAGGATGATTCAAGCCCTATTATTAAATACTTCTTTCCTCCGTTTCTTTTCTTGAAGTTCATAAACTTTCCTTTTCTCTTTTCAGACCTGTTTTCTCATTTCTGTCATTTTCCTTTCTGTTTTAATACATGTTGGTCAACATGATTTCAATACCAAACAACACTGTCTCTGGTTGGTTCAGGGGGAAAGTATATGTTAGAAGGAATAAGAGAGACAGACAGTTATAACTGTCTGTGTGGTGGGTTTGTTGTTGTGTCAGACTATTATAAAGTCTGTTTGGGGGTTGTTTTCTTTAGTTTTTGAGTTTTTTGTTAGACAAAGGGAAGGGAGAGACATGTCCTCTCAAAAGACCTGGTGTTGTGTGTGTTTTACATTCTAGTGCAGATCAAACTGTCTGGTCTCTTTGCAAGATCATCAAAGAACCTGTCTTGGAGTTCTTTGTGGAAGTAATAAATTCTGGGTACCTATCATTGGTATTCAGAGCCATTTTTCTGGTGCTGTGGGGGGTTGTAGGGCATGGTGAATACGAGAATGGAGTCAAGATTGGATTGGCTGGAGAGAATAGAGCAAGAATAGGAACACGAGAGTGAAAGACGGTTCCAAAGATTGGAGGAGATGATTAAGGGGCTGACAGTGGTGGTAGAATTATTAGCATCCTCTGATAAACATACAGAGGATAGTGCTTCTGTTGCCAAGGGAGGTAGTTACGGCAGTCCAAATAATGAAGGAGGAGGTTCAGGCATGACTTTGGCAAAATGGAGTAAGTTTCATATTCTTGTTTTTGCAGGAGATGAGGCTTATGGCTGGACTAACAGGTTGGAGAGGTATTTCCGGTTGAAAGAAGTCAATGAGGAGGAGAGGATGAGGGCCATTATGGTTGCTTTGGAGGGGAAAGCCCTGAATTGGTTTCAATGGTGGGAAACCTGCAATCCCAATCTCACATGGGAGGCAAGGGGGCGGTTGTTCGACAGTTTCAGCCAACAATGCTTCAAAATCCTTTTGAAGTCTTGATTGGACTTCGCCAAACTGGGCAGCTGGGAGAATATATTGAATAGGTTGAACAATATACGGGGTTCTTGAAAGGTATATAACAAGATTATTTGATTGGCATTTTCTTGAATGGTTTGAACGAAGAAATAAAGGTTGAGGTTAAGTTGTATGAGCCCAAGAATCTTGCTGAGTTAATGATGAAGGCTCAAATGGTGGAAGAAGAGGTTAGAGTCACCNTAAACATACAGAGGATAGTGCTTCTGTTGCCAAGGGAGGTAGTTACGGCAGTCCAAATAATGAAGGAGGAGGTTCAGGCATGACTTTGGCAAAATGGAGGAAGTTTCATATTCTTGTTTTTGCAGGAGATGAGGCTTATGGCTGGACTAACAGGTTGGAGAGGTATTTCCGGTTGAAAGAAGTCAATGAGGAGGAGAGGATGAGGGCCATTATGGTTGCTTTGGAGGGGAAAGCCCTGAATTGGTTTCAATGGTGGGAAACCTGCAATCCCAATCTCACATGGGAGGCAAGGGGGCGGTTGTTCGACAGTTTCAGCCAACAATGCTTCAAAATCCTTTTGAAGTCTTGATTGGACTTCGCCAAACTGGGCAGCTGGGAGAATATATTGAATAGGTTGAACAATATACGGGGTTCTTGAAAGGTATATAACAAGATTATTTGATTGGCATTTTCTTGAATGGTTTGAACGAAGAAATAAAGGTTGAGGTTAAGTTGTATGAGCCCAAGAATCTTGCTGAGTTAATGATGAAGGCTCAAATGGTGGAAGAAGAGGTTAGAGTCACCACCAAGGGGGAATCTCTCACTGTGCAGCTTCAAAGTAACACCTACAAATAGTTGCCACCTACTCGTAATTACTCAAAGGAAGGGGGAAATTCAGTGGGTTGTACCAACTCCAACAAAGGAAGTGGAGAGAGCAGTGACTGTGTGAGCACTATCAATAGTTCTCATGATGGGACTCAACAAAGAGGGGCACTGTTTAGAAAATTGTCCCAAGGAGAATTGCAAGATAAGATAAAAGAGGGCTTATGCTTCAGGTTTGATGAGAAGTTTGGGCCTAATCATACTTACAAAAATACACAGCTCCATATGCTGCTTGTTTTGGAAGAGGAAATTCAGGAGTTAGGGGAATCTGCTGTCTGCATTCATAAAGAATTTCCAAATTGAAAACAGTTGGGAAGCTCCTACAGCCATCAATACTGAGATTCCTGCTTTTTCACCTTGCGGACATGGTGAAACTTCATGGAGGGGGTATTGATAGGTTCAGGGGGGAAAGTATATGTTAGAAGGAATAAGAGGGACAAACAGTTATAACTGTCTCTGTGGAGGGTTTGTTGTGTGTCAGACTATTATAAAGTCTGTTTGGGGGTTGTTTTCTTTAGTTTTTGAGTTTTTGGTTAGACAAAGGGAAGGGACAGACAGGTCCTCTCAAAAGATCTGGTGGTGTGTGTTCTACATTCTAGTGCAGACCAAACTGTCTGCTCTCTTTGCAAGCTCATCCAAGAACCTGTCTTGGAGTTTTTTGTGTAAGTAATAAATTCTGGGTACCTATCAGTTTCCCTGATGGGTAGTCTGTTGTTTCTCTTGCAAAATTGAGTCTAGAGCTCTTTAGTATTTTTCAGCTGCTAATCAGTTAGTTCAACATTAAAAGGAAACAATAATCAATTAGCAACATAATCCTAATCACTTATACTGACATATCTGAACTCAAAAACCGGTTGAATGGATCTAATGAATTTGCTGTCCAGCTTTATTTGATTATGAAGCTTATGGAACTAACCTCATCAATTGGCAACTTGGATCTGATCAATAAGGAAGCTCCTGCAGACCTCATTTTGTTCTTTTGTATGACATAATTGATTAGCATCCCCGTTGTCATTTTGAGATTTCTTGTTCTAAGGGATTCAACACCAAAGTTTTTCTCTGATATTCATACTTCAATGGTTTAACGGATAACTATGTTTTTGGTCCCTAAATTATAACGTGATTTGAGTATTTGTTCCTATCTAAAACTTTGATCCTGTTAAGTCCCCATACTTAAGAAATGCATGATTATAGTTCTCCTTGTTTAACACTATTAACTTTTTTTTGGCTGACAAACAGCGAAACATGATGACCTTTTAAGAGGTTGACAGGAGGAGAACATGTGGATTGCATCCAGTGTGATTTGTCGTTTGTCATGTCAAAAAACAGTTAACGTCATTGGGTGAAAATGACTGCATCCATGCATTTCTTAAGTATAGGGACCTAAGATGATCAAAGTTTGAGATAGGAACGAAAACCAAAATTGCATTATAGTTTAGGAACCAAAAACATAGTTAATCCATGATTTAAACTACCTTTTAAGATTGGTTAGCCTCATTTTATCAACATACTCAAGATTTTTCAGAATGTTACAGAAATAAATAAACCTCACTTTTTACTTTGTCCTTTCAGCATTGTTTTTTCAGAATGTTACAGAAAGAAATAAACCTCACTTTTTACTTTGTCCTTTCAACATTGTTAGAACATCCATAAGAGAGGTTTCTGCAGACCCAATATGGGATATGCATGCATGATCCTTGAAAGCTATTGTTTTAAATGTTTCGGGTCTCCATTTTCAAAAGCTATGGTCTGTCATTATCATAGGTGGTGATGATGTTACAGTGGTGTGACATTTCATTTACACATTCTATCCTATGTGGAAGCAAGATAATGATGATTGAAGTTAGGTATTTTAAAACAGTGAGGGAGCAGAACTTGAAAAACACAATAAGAAACCAAAATAATAATAAAAAGTACTATGATAGAAGGACTATAAATATATTTAAGCCAATATTTATATAGCAATTACTTTTAAAATATGTGTATATATATAATATGCTAATGAGAGAAAAGTATTTAATAAAAGGAACATTTATTATTTTGAAAACACAAACTATTCAATACCTGCTATTATATAAGGATATTGA